ACCCCTAGGCTGCATTCGCCACCCTCAGAGACCATCCCACCCTTTGGTGTGCGACACACTTCTCATGTGACATATGGTTGTCTTGTTGATTGCTTTGTTGCTCTCAGACTGAGGCTAATGCCTCCGACRTTTCTAGGATTTAGYTGTTMTGCTTTTGCTGTTCTTAGGACTTATACACYAGTCAGTTGTTACCAGACTGAGGCTAGTGCCTCCAACATTCTAGGATCTAGTTGTCACTACTTTTTGCTTTCCTAGGACATGTATGTTAGTTAGTTGCTCCTACTTTCACTTAGGCTGTTAGCTGTGACATTGCTGTTTTGTGACATTTTATATCCTAGGTTGCATCGCATGGACTCAGCATGGAGCTTGCTCTGCATCCTAGACTACTCAGGTTTTCTTTTCTTTGGTAGAGTTCCGCTTCTCGGCGGAAGCATGTTTGTATCTAGGCGATCCATCACAGGCCGAGGATCGTGTAGCGGACCTCGGGTTGGCCTAAAACCAGCCCCTTGGCCTGTTCTCCCAGACCTGTGTTACATTCGGGGTAGGCCAGTCCAGGCCGGTACCTCTGTCGGTACCAGCCAGTCCAGTCCAGTCCCGTCAGTCCSCTGGGGTATACCCCAGCCATTGTCTGTTTTCAGTCTGATTCCTCACTTGCACATTTTGGAGTACGTGCGTTGGAGTCTTGCGTGGGGAGCTGCGTTGTGCCATCTTGCTCCCCCCTTCTTCCTCCATCTCCATCTCTGTCACTAGCGGAGCACCACACCTGGTGGGTCCGCTACAGCTAGCGATGACGATGATGCTCCTGTAGTGGAGGATGACGCGGTGGGGCAAGGGGGAGGGGTTGCGATGGATGGGGAGGCAGGGGAGGCGGTTCATGGGGAGGCTGGCAGCGGGGTGGATGAGGTGACAAGAAGGGTTGTGGTCGGTGGAGAGACTCCGGTCCGGAGACCTGCTTTGTCGCAGACTGGGGACCAGGCTGCCCGCAGACGGGGGGCGGCTAGACAGACGAGCATCGTCAGGTACGCGAAGAACCCTAGACAGGAGGGGATCGATGAAACCTGTTGTGAGTTCTTCGTCGAGAATGCCATCCCGTTAAACGCCGCAAAAAGCAAGAGCTTCAAGAAGTTCCAGCTGACGTGTTATGGGCCGCAACCTGCGGCGAACTCCCCTCTTGTGCCCACTGGGTACAACCCACTGCGATGCAGGCTGCTTGATCAGTTGCGCGGGAGGTTAAAGGTTGAGGAGAAGGTGGTCCGGGACGACTGGGAGGTGATAGGCTGCACGTTCATAACCGATGGCACCACAAACATCTGTGGGCGATCGCTTATGAATTACATACTCGCCGGGCGGTCGAAACCCGTTTTCATCAAATGCGAGGATGTGAGTGAGGGAGAGAAGGATGCAACTGCCGTCGTCGCTGGGTGGAAGAGGTTCTTCAAGGAGTGGGGAGTAGACAAGGTAACTGCGATCTGCACACCCTCCTTCGCAGGGAACAAGAGTATTGCCCGGATGTTGAGGGAGGATCCTGAATTCGTGCAAATCTACTGGATCCCTTGCACGGCACACTGCATGGACCTGCTCATGCACGACATCGGCAAGAAGGAGTGGGCGGTGACCATCATCGACAAGGGCAACAAGGTGGTCACCTTCTTCAGAGTGCACAAGTGGCCACGATCGCAATTGCGGACACAGTTGTTGCAACGCCCGGACCTTGAGTGCACCTGCCTACTTCGCCCAACTCAGACGAGGTTCGGGACAAACTACGTGATGCTGCAGCGACTGCAGGTCTGTGCAAAGGCCATCATTCGCATCGTGAATGGACTCGCCTGGGAGAAGATGGTGTGGAAGGGGGATATCAGGGGGAAGGCGTTGTTTGTGAAGGAGACTGTTCTTGACAGGGCCTTCTGGGCCGATGTCAAGAAGCTGACCACCCTCATGAAGGGCCCTTATGAAGTCCTGCGAGAGGTGGACAAGGATGTCCACTGCTTGTCTCGGATCTATGACCTGGCCCGCCATTTACCTATTTTCGTCCGTTCGGCCCCCCTCGGTGACAAGGAGCGAGATGATATCCTGGTGGACGTGAAGAATAGGATAAATATGCTGCTCAGCCCAATCCACGCCGTGGCCCGGTTGTTGGATCCAGTCTTGAGGGGCATGCTGTTTTCAGCAATGTAGAGCTCATGACGCAGTTTGAGGCTGTTGTGGAGCGGCTCATCGGCAAGAGAGGGAGCAAGAAGTTTGACGACTGCTTGGACCAACTGTACGAGTTCCAGATGGCGAGAGGAGTGTTCGGCACCATACGGGCGTTGCAGAGGGCGAAGAAGGACAATGCAGTGCTGTGGTGGGAGGCGCACGGGGGTGGCCATCCAAAGATCAAGGCTCTGGCGGTGAAGGTGCTCTCCATTTGGACGACATCCTCTCCGGCTGAGAGGAATTGGAGCACTTGGTCTCTTGTGCAGACGTAGTCCAGGAAAAGTTGAACCACCAGCGCACTGAGAAG